GGGCAGCAGCTCACCCCGGGCGCGGGGTCTCGGGGATTACCGGGGCCGGAGACGGGCGAATTGCAAGCGAAGAGGCGTGAGTCTGCTGCAGGCCTGGGAGCTGCTCCAAAGCCTGAATCACCTCTTGGCTTTTGGTTTGGTTTGTTTCCTCCAGAAGTAAGACTAAATTCTTGATAGGGCAAATAAATTTGCTTGTTCCTTTCCCCACTGGAGGTTCTGGCAACGCGTGAGTGTTGGGGGAGCCCTCCCCGAGGCCCGGGTTATTCCTCAGTCCCTGTGCCCTGCCTGACCCCAGGCCATGCTCCTTCCCCGAGGGTGGCCGCCCCAAACGGGCAGCAGGCTCTGTGCGACACCCACCATCTCCAGCCCGCTGTGCTACCCTCGACCTCCTGCGCCCTTTTTTTCCCCCCTCTTCAGGAGCGTCTCCAAGTGGGAATACTTGGTTCCCAGGACATCGTGGCATCCCCACCGCCTCCCATCTTACCCTTGGTAGGGCCCTGCCCCAATCATTGAAAAACAAGGTATTGCCCAAACTTAACCCGTATTCTGGTTTCTGGTGCCACCCAGTGGTCCTACGTACTGCTGGTAACGGAGGAGAAGAGGCAGAGTCGAGACACAGGCAGGTAAACCATTCCCAAGTGTGTTCCTAGTAGAAAAGGAAGAGCACTGGGCCACACTGCCATTGGGGTCATCCCAGCCTTGTTGAGCATCGCTGAGTGCCCAGTGCTCCCCTCTCCTTACCCCTCAGCCCTGCCTCACGTCACCCCATGAACTCCCTGTGAAATCCTGCCACCTCCCTCAGCACCAGCCGCTGTTTATCACCTTTCACCACTTCCCTTTTGTGTCTAGCAATTCATCAATAGATTCTTCCACCCCATCCAGCTACCTTAACATCAGGCCAGGGCCTTCATATTTGCCAGTGGTTCCCTGCTTTAAGGGGACATTGGAAGAAGCTGCTTTACTGGGGAAACCTCAACTCCTGTGGCCACAAGTAGCTGCAGTCTGACCTCCCACCACTGAGACCTGGGGAGGGCAATATAGGGAACACAGATGGAGGCACTTCAGGTGAATAACACCCCTGTAAACTGACGGATAAGCCCTGCTCTTTGGCCTTGTTAGCCACATGATGCTTCCCAGGTGTTGGTAGCAAGGTGGAGTAGGTTGGTTGTCTCTCAGGTGCTGGAGTGAACCCAATTCTTGCCCAGGTCTCAAGTCTTCAGAGACCACCCTGCAGATCTAGGTGATCCATGTCAGTAGGTTACAGTATTGAATGCCAAGTCTGCTTCCTGAGAGGCAGATTCCGTTCAGCACCACAGAGTTAAGCAGTGTTACACACTCACTCAAGCCTGGAGGCAAGCAGCACTCCATTTTACCACCCCTCCCAACACACTCATTCATTTATAGTGTACAATAGCCTGGATTTACCAGGGTTATATACCAAAATTCAGGGAGCTTGGTGACCATCCCTCCTCTAAGTTTCCTAGTTCAACCAAGACACCTTCCTTTTCTTTTAAAGAGCTGCCCACAAGAAAATGGGATCCAAGGTGAGGTGTGTACCTACCAGAGAACAGCGAGGGCTGGCTGCTCCCTGAGGGATGGGGGAGTTGGCCAAGACAATGGTCTTGCCAGCCAGAGCACCATCCCATCATAACCAAGCAAGTTGTGTAGAGCAGACCTAAAGATGGTAGTCAGGTTCAGTTGCCTGTCTAGATCTTCAGGCAAGTTCATGGTGATATGACAGGTCCAAGTCAATCTGCAGGTTGGGGTCAGGTCCACTGAGGCTAACCAGGATCAGATGTGGCCCAGTGATTGCTGGGCAAGTACTGTGGCAAGCTGGGAAGTCAGTCTGTGGATCAGGATCAGTTTGTATCAGGTATAGCCAAGATAAAGCTAGAGAATGCTTCTCTTTTAACAGCTCAGACAGAAACTAAAGGCCCAGGTCTGAGCTTAAATGTGACTCTTGGGCCCCCTGGGTAGGATGTGTGTGGGTAGAAGCCCCAGGTGAGGCTAGCTGAAGTCTTTAAGGCCTATTAGTGCACTGAGGTCACTAGCAGTATCTCCCAAAAATCTGTGTATGGGATTACCTTATGCATGGGTCTGATATCTACTCCCTGCTCCTCGAACCCAGAACTGGCAGATTCCCCTCTTGCAGTTCTCTCCTGGGGAGCTCAGATGCCCTCCAGCAATTCTTGGAGCACTTCAGGTAGACAATACCAGCTGCACCCACTGTACCTTGCCTACAGGACAGTGATTTTCTTTCCAATCCCTTTTAAGATGTGAGAAATGTTCAGTAAGTGATCACTGGGCACCAGCCAACCCCACTAGCTGGCTCCGATGGCCCTGTGACAGGCCTGAGTGCAGTGACAGAGGCCTGAGTAGCCTTGATCAGCCTCACCCAGGACCACACCCACACCCCCACCATGAGCCCAGGACCCATTCCAGTTCAGCTCTGGGCCTGCCCTCCCTCCCTCTCTGAGCGATGGTGCGGGGTGAACCTGCCTCCACCTGTGTCTCTCACCTTGGCCGTTAAGTAGCTTGTCTCTTGGGCAGACCCCTTCAATGTATATTATAGCCCACCAACCTTATTTTGAGTCATTCTTTTTCTTTTTTAATTTTGTTTCATATAGATACTTCTTCATTTCAAAGCATTTAAAGAGTAACATGTCTAGTGCTGTCTGCCTCTTCTTGTGCAGGCTCAGGCATAACTGCAGCATTTCATGATACCTTTGTGCTTGCCTGGGCTACCAAGAACAAGGGGGGAAGAAAGAGGAGTAAGTGTGGACCTGTGCAGGCACTATAGGCAGAAACAGTCAGTACCACTGCTTAAATTTTTAGCTATTATGTAAACCAGACTGGCTGTTGAACAGAGGGGAATTTCCTGCCACAAGACTGTACAATCATTGCAACAGTCCTCCAGCCCAGGAAGTTGGTTTTAGGCTCTCTGGTGTGGCTGTCCCCATGCTGTGTTTACTGTTGTCAACATGGATTATTCCATCTGTTCATGTGCTGCAGCATAATAGTCCAGGACTCTGCAAAAGACAGCAGCATTTGCCCTAACCAGGCTAACACCACCTCTTCACCATGTGTTTCTGACTGACCTGTGTCTTTTTTTTTTGCAATCCTCAGAACAGAGTGTTACTTCTTATTTTTTTCTCAGAGAAGACAATAATAAAAAGAACTCCTGATGGAAATTACTTACAGAACCGTATGCTGTTGTGGATCACCCTGTTGTGGGCATAAGTGTGGGCTGGGAAGCAGGGAGCTGTGGCTGTAAAGGCAGGGGTTGGGGTTCCTCGATGCTTTTGTGGTCATTCAGCCACATGTCAGCGAGGATGCCTTGTGCACTGGCACAGTGTGGTTCTGGGCTAAGGCTCCAAGGGGGATGGGGCTGCTGAGGCAGCTTTCAAATGAGCCCTGGATGGGCCAGCTGACTTCACACCAGGAGAACATGGGTCGTTGTTTATTTCTGAACAAGCAGGGCATAACTGCTCACTTCCCCACATCAGCCTAAATCCTTCACCAAGTTTTGGCTGAATGTTCTTGCCAAAATCCACAGCTTACACGTGTTGACCTAGGAGTGAAGCAACTGCTCTACCCATCCAGGACTGTAGTTCAAAATACTAAGACAGTATTGAAATTATACTGTATTTTAATTCAATTAATTTTCAAGCTTTATAGAAAAATTAATTGTTCACTACAAAGTGATATAACTGTCTTAAGCCAACTTAACCCTCATCTATCCCTTGTACAATGTACACATTAAATGCTTGTGTGCAGGTTTAAGCCCTGCCGGAATCGGAGAGCACGTGGCCGTTGCCCCTCCCCAACCCGCGCCCCCGGCTGAAATAACAAGAAATTTAATACAACAGAGTGATAGAACAACCTGAACAGCAACAGTATCAATGGTAACAACAATAAACAGCAATAACAGTGAACAAGACAAACGATATACAGAGAAATACCACTAGCTGGTCTACGGAAAGCGAAATTCCCTCCCGAACCCACCAAGGAGCAAGGAAAAGGGTTCCACCCCTGGACCTGACGTCAGCATGGTATGAATAACCTGGCTGGAGATCCCTTCCCCCTCTCTCTTTGCTGGGGAAAACTTTACCCTGGCTGAACCAGGACAGCTTGGAGTGTTTGCATTCAGAGGAAAGCTATTTGGAAAATAACAGCTAGAATTCAGTCTACCTCTGTCAACCTCTCTTTTGCCTAATTCAAGTTAGGTTTTTCCCCATACTGTTGTTTTTTGTTGCTGTCAGAGATGTTAGAACATCTCTGCATATTTACATTCAGCTCTCTCCAAGGAGAGTGTGTCTGCCAGAGATACAAGCTTTGACAAAACAGACTCCTGATCAAAGCATCTAATTGAGCTAGAAGGCTGCTGTGAGTGGTCTGATTCTGCAAGTAGTTCAAAATCTAACATTTCTCCCTCTGACAGCTTATGTGACAGCACAGAGAGAAGCATGGAGCGTATGCAGCTGCAGTGCGAGGTAAAGGGAGCTTATTTAGTTATTTTTCCTGCAGAAGATTCATCTGAATCTTCAGATGTGGTCACCAGGCTGTGCCAGGTGATGGATGGCTTGTTTCCACCGAACGCCAGGAAGGGACAGCAGTGATCGGGGAAGAGCCTGGGGCTGGCCCTTAGCAGGCACCTCTACTACAGTAGGCAGGGGAACAGTGGGGTACAAACATAACTATGCTCCCTACGTACAGATGCTTCATTGGGTTCATTCAAATCGGCTGGGCCAGTGTGGTTTCCCACGCCTTTCCAATTTTATGTAGAATGCAAATCTGTCTGGATCCAGAGGGCAGAGCTGTCCCAGCAGCAGCAGCTAGAGCCTGGGGCTTTGCCTCACCGTGATGGGGCTCTCCTGCTGGCTGGACTTCCCACACATCCTCCCAGGTTACAGGAGTCATGATTGCTCATCTCCAGTCACAGATGGGAAATAAGAAGGATGCTAAGCTGTGAGGCCAGAGATACACGGAGAATGGCAAGCCCCTAAGGTAAGTTGTACAAAAGGACCTGATGTAAGGGCACATGTTTCCAAAGCAGTGAACTGCTTGAGCCAGGTAAGCTCACTGCATGGTGTGTCAGCAGCAAGAGGCACCCTTGGCTCAGGCCAGCTCCTGCAAAGGGCTGTAAGACAGAGCAGTAAGGCAGCGCTCTGAGGGCAGGGTAGCAAAGCTGTTCTCCACAAACCTTTCACAGCCAATGATTCACTTGTGTCTTTCTAGGGCTTTCATGAAACAGAAGAGTTGAAAGGAGCACTCCTCTTATTTCATTGGCATGCTGAAAAACATGTTCCACATAATCACTGCACCACTGTATTGACCATTTACTGAGAAATCAAAGTGGGGCAGCACCGCTTGCTGTGCAAGAAAAGGTGACAGTGAGGTTGGCTGCTCTGTTTTCTCAAGGCAGAAAGCTGCCTTGTGTAGGCTGGATGGTTTATGGTTGAGGGGCACAGACCAGGCCTGAAGGGGCATACACCTGCTCAGCAGCTCCACTGACTGTGAAAGACTCTGCTCGCTTTCAACACAAATGCCGTGATTGAGAGACAGGACATAGCTTGATGCAAGCAGAGGGTGAGAATCCAAGAGAAAAATAAGTTCTTGTAATAAAACAAACAGTTCAGAATGTGAGATATCACGTAATACAGACGCTTCAGCTCGCTCAACAATTCCTGCAACAAAAGCTGAGTCAGTAATAAGGTTAAGTGGTGTGGACCACCTCTGAAAAACTCGAACAACTGCAGTCAGTTCTACTATCTGGGAAGAACCAGGAATGGTCTCTATGTCTGAGTCCCATCATCCATGTTGGTTGTCCCTCCACAAGATGACTGATTTACGCGATTTCGCAGACCCGTCCGTAAATACAGTAAGGGCTTGTAATGGCTGATCACTTTTCTTTGGCCTGGATATCAAGCGAACATTGGCATTAAGCAGCTTATGTGGAGGTGGGTGGGATTTACGTTGACCCATATAGTCTGCCAATGCCAGACTAAAAGTGTCTGATTGCTGATAAAGCCACTGTAAATAAATGTTTGTCACACGTAGGCAGATACAAGCAAAGTCTGCCCCTGATAATGTTAGTAAGCATTGTCTGGCTTTAATTATCAGAGAAGCAAACATCTCATGCTGTGTCAAAATGGTTTTTGTAGATTGATTTGGCAAGAAAATCCATTCAATAATTAACAGTGGATCTGGCTTCTGGGAGTCCCACTGAAAAATTATTGCGTGAGGCTGTCGAGCGGGGTTTAAAATAATTAGATAAAAGGGTAATTCAGGGGCCCACCAGTGAACTTGCCTGTTGGTGATCACTGTGACAACCTTTTGCAAAGAGTCAACAGCCTCAGAGCCAAGGCTGCGGGGAGAGTGCAAGTCAGTATCTCCTCTGAGCAGTTCAAATAAAGGACTTATGTCCGCATTAGAAATTCCCAACAGCGGTCAGACCCAATTAATGGTTCCCAACAGTTTCTGTACATCATGCAGGTTTCTAATGTCTGTATGTATCTGTAAGGATTGAGGCACTATAGTTTGAGCCCTGATGCGCCAACCTAAGTACTTAAATGGTGGTATTTTCTGAATTTTTTCCAGGGTGATACAGAGGCCTGCCCAATTAACAGCAGCCGTGACAAGGGCTACAGCTTCCTCCATGACCTCGCGATGTTGTGCGGCCACTAAGATGTCATCCATATAATGGTACAACAAGACACTGGGCATCGCAGTCCTAACCGGACTAAGTACCTTAGCTACACACCACTGACAAATTGTAGGACTATTCTTCATTCCTTGTGGCAGCACAACCCCCTGGTATCTTTGCAATGGGGCTTGCATGTTGACTCTTGGAACTGAAAAAGCAAATTTAGGAGCATCATCAGAGTGTAGTGGGATATTAAAAAAGCGATCTTTAAGGTCAATATCAGTTCCAAGGAATTATAGTAGGGGATGGGAGTCCTGGTTGGAGGGCTCCCATGTCTTCCATAGCATCATTAATTTTTCTGAGGTCGTGGAGCAAGCGCCACCTGCCGGTTTGTTTTTTAGTAACAAAAATAGGCAAGTTCAAAGGACTAGTAAAAGGCACAATATGCCCTTTTGTTAACTGCTCCATAACTAATTCTTGGAGGGCGGAAGCTTTTCCAGTGGTAGGGGCCATTGATCTACCCAAATAGGAGTATTGGTTTTCCATGTCAATTTAAGGGTGTCGCGCGCTTCAATGGCCCCTTCTAAAAATGGGTCCGAATGGACATTCCCCACTGGGACAGCACATCATACCCCCACAGAATCAAAGGTACAGGTAACAGGAAAGGTTTAACAGAGGCTATATGCCCCTCTGGACCTTGGATTTGGATTAATTCCACACTTTGGTGGCTGTTACCAGTCCCTCCAATTCCAGCCAACGCTTGGGAAGCATTAGCCAGAGGCCACTGTGGAGGCCACTTACCCTAAGATATTACCATGACATCTGCTCCAGTATCAATAATTCCATTTAGTACTACTTGCTGCCCTCCATTGATAAGGGTACATTGACATACGGGTTGCTCCTGAGTAATAGATTGCACCCATAGGATTTGTGGGTTTCCTGTAGACCCAAACCCTCCCTGCCCTTTAGGAGATTGATTAGGAATGGGGGAGTTTGTCCTCACCGGAATCAATATTAATTGCACTACACAACTACCTTTAGGTATTGTGCAGGGAGGAAACTGGGTCCATGCCATAATTTTAATTTCATCAGTACTATCAGAGTCAATGACCCCTGGTAACACAAAAAGCTCTGATAATGTGGTAGATGATCTCCCTAACAACAGCGCTTGTGTATTGGGGGGTAAGGGTCCTGAAATATTTGTCGACAGCAAGTGAACTGAGCAATCAAGTAACGTTACTGTGTGGGCGGTTGCCAGGTCCAATCCGGCACTCCCGGCTGTTGCTGGATGAAGACTTGAGACGCTGCTGCTTCCCTCCGTGGGGGTTGGAAAGTCAGCTGCGGTACTTGTGTCTGCACACATTGCTGCCCTGTGCTCCGCAACTGGTTTCCCTGTATCAGTTGGCCCTGAAAATCATACTTAGACCGACATTGATTAGCATAATGACGCCCTTTTCAGCATCTAGGGCAAATTCCAGGGGGTTGATACGTAGCCCCTGCATTCATAGTCAGGCTGTTCTTTTTAAATGTCCTGGTTTGCCACAACGGTAGCAGTTCCCCAAGCCTGACAGACCACACATGGCTGCAAAGGCAGCAGCCATGGCCTCAAATTTATGATCCACAGTGCCAATTCTATTGCAAGTTTCCACCATTTCAATCAGTGTAGGATTCGGATTAGAGAGGGATTTCAAGAGCTTCTTACAATCCACATTAGCATTTTCAACAGCCAATTTCAAATTTCTCGTGCTTCCACATTGTCTATCTGATGCTCCAGAGCCTGTTTTAATCTATCAATAAATTGCATATAAGGCTCTTGGGGTTCTTGAGTAATAGTTGTAAAAGCTTTCTGTGGCTTTTCTATGTCAGGGACCTTGAAAAAAGCCTTTTTCACTTCTTCCCGGACCGCTTCAAGAGCCTCCCAAGGGATATCCCGTGCCTGAGCTACCAGATCAGTGTGCTGACCCGTGCCGATAAGATGCTCTATGCTTAATGCAGCCACAGCTTGATTACCGTGACCCGCAAACCTGAGAAGAAGTGCTTGGAGCCCTCCCCTTAGGTCTAGCTCCTTCTTGGGGTCTACCGGCCCCAGATCAAAGGGGTCATCCTCCAGAGGATAGTTTGCAGCGCCAACCTCTGGGGGTCCTCAGCAACTTTGACTTTCCAAAGGCAGAGAAGGGACCGTGGGGGAATTCCCTTTCACTTTCGCCATCATTACTCTTTTCCTGAGCTTTTAGGGTTTCAAAAATGATCCTACACCACGGAAGCATACACTGTGCTTCTACATTCCCTGATGTGGCAGTCCCACAACTTCACCCCCACATCATCCCAAAGTTCCTGTGTAAAGATACTAGAAGTGGTTACATCAGGTATCTTCATTTGCACCCATTTAAGCACAGTTTTAAGATCATGCCCAGAGATGACTTTCCCATGCTTTTTAAGAGGAGCTTTCATAAGCTCATATACGTCTCTTTTTGGGGAAGATGCTTGATTCCCCATGTTTCCCACAGCTGACCTCTCTACTCTGGAGGGATTTTTAGGCCGGCTGGCTCCTGCTTCCTTTCAGCAGCTCATTCAACGTTCTGTGGGACTCGCAGCAAGCTGCACAGACAGGCGGTTCCTGGACCGTGTAATCACGTCGGGGTCACCAATTTGCAACGACTAAGAGACAGGACACAGCTTGATGCAAGCAGAGAGTCAGTCAGTTTATTGCAGAAAACACTCATTTATATAAAAAATCAGAAGAAATCAGAAGATGTGTGTTTTAAACTGATTGGTTGTTATGCTTCAAAATTCTTATCAGTGCTCGCTGATTGGTAGCTAATTAAACTTTAGCAATTGGACTGCTTACAACTAAGCTGCTCTGCAGAGACTCTAAGTTTCTTCTTTCCTGCTCCGTATGACTCACAGGTCAGTAATTCTCCACCTTATCAGCACTTCTCTATTCCCCTTATCAGGCTTCCCAAGGTTTATGGCCTGCAAGTTCCAGCACGTCCCCTTCTAACAACAACAATGGAGCAGTAATCACCATCCTGTCTGATTCTTTCAAATCCAGTCCCACACACAAACCCCTGATTCTGCCCAAGCTGTGCCCTGCACAGCACCTGGGAGTGCCTGCTCTTTGAGGGCAAAAAAGGGTGGCTCCGTCTCTCCCAACCTAGAAAATAGACCACATCAAATTCCTTTTTCTTTTATAAAACCATGTCTTTTCTTCAGTAAGTGTTTACTTGTTTAGTATTTACTTTCTCTGTGTTCACTTCTTAATAAGTATTAATGGAAATTAAAGCAATGAACGCTAAGCATGCCTGAAAGTGTAGTTACATAGCAGAGGTGTGCAGTGCAAGTAATGGGAAATGTGAGAATGTAACTGATAGGCAGCATTTTTTCACATTTTTTTTTCTGAAAAAGCTCTTAAGTGGGACAACACACTAGGATTACAATAAAGAATGGAAGAAAATATTCACAAAACACCTGGGGTCTTGTCTCAATGCAGAAAAGCAAGCTGAGGAAGTAGTAAAAATATCCAGATTAAAGCTATACATATATATGTATATGTACTTACATGAATGGTTATGATTATAGGTATGTTATATATGACATTAATTATATACTACTTATTTGCATTATATGTATGATATATAGTGAACTGATATAATATGGATGGAGAATTAACTGAATGCATAGTCCTGGAGACTATGTAGTCTGGACTGGAGCTTTGGGCTGGAAATATGCTCAATGTGTGTAAAATAATTAGCAAATTAAAATATGAATGATAGAAGATAGCTTATAAGAAAATGCATGGTGCACTGTAATAAGGAACTGATTAAATGCTTATGAAACAGAGCTCTAGCTTATATTTGAGCTCCTGAAGCTCAGATGTCAGTGTACTGCTCAGTGAGAGCACAGCACTTGCTTGTCTACAGAACACCTGAGTGACAAACCTCGTGTCTAATCAAGCTGGGCAGAAGCAGCCCTGTTCCTTACAGGGTTTGGAGCTGGCTCTGAAGCAGACAGCTGTGGGCATCGGTTGCTTCCTGGGCATACAGAGCA